CTAAGAATGAAAGTTTTGTTTTACAAAAAGACAGTCAATTTGTCTTTTGATATTTAATTGGACAATTTGGAATTTGGAAGTCAAACCTTGTTTAAAATATACTTGAAGAAGTTTTATATTTAAAGCTGGTGTTGGCAGCAGAAATAAAATAGATTAAATGTTTTTACCTCCTACTTACTGGTATTTAAGCTTTAAAAATTCCAAAGAATTCTCTTTTAATTTTTTGCTGTTTTTTTTTTTTTTTTTTGTAAGATTTGGCGCAGTCAGCAAAAAGTCTAGACTAAAAAAATAAAATGACATTTTGAATACCTAGAACTGGTGCAGCATCACATGAAATCAATTTAATTGAATGGAAAATAAAATAAAAATAAATGGCCATGAGTTACTTTGTTGCAGAATTTGATTTTTCAGTCTTTACTTTGCAATTTTGATGTCATCAGTATGCATTCCTATGTCTCCTTTCCATCCAATCACTGATAATACAAATTAAACAAGGTCACTTTTCACTCTTTCACTTCAGCAATCTCCTTTGAAACACTGTCTCAACAGACACAATTATTACATGTGGCTATGGTATCAGAGGGACCACAGGCATTTTAAAGTGGCAATAACCACAAGATTGCAACATTGATATTGCACTTTAATGCAATCTCAGGAGCCTCTGAGCAGCCTCGGTTTGATTGGATAATACTGGCGCACCAAGCTCTCAGGCATAAATCTTCATTCATGTATAAATCACTCAAAAATAGAGCAAGAGGATTTGAGTCACAAATCCTAAAAAAAGCAATAACCACATGAGGAAGGAGAAGTCCAATACGAGGCATTTTCCACGTTCACTGAGCCATGAGAACTTGAAAGAATCTGAGTAGTGTAGGAAGTAAATGATAGGGCACAAGGCTGTTCAATACACTTTTGAATAAACCAATCATTCCAGTGATTGTTATGGAGACAGTCAATCAGGAGGCAAATCCAGTGCTGGTTAAATACACTTCAGCATGTGATGAGCAGAAAACCTCAACTGTCCAACTGCCAAAAATGACAATGGCTTCAAAACGGATTCTTATCTGTTGAACATTTTCACATTTTTGTCACGTTACCTAACACCTACACAAACTACAATAAAAATAAATAGTTTTTAAATATATTTTCCACTCATACAGCTGCTCTCTGAATTCCTCAAAACTAGTTTAGAGAACGTCAGTGAACCAACAGCTTCATGGAACCTAAAAAAAAGTGGGGGTAGCATCATGCAGTTGGGATGCTTTTCCACAGCAGGCATTGGGAATCTGGTCAAAGACGACGTGAAGATGCATGTGGAGCAAAACAGGACACTCCTGGAAGAAAACCTTCTAGAGACTGCATACGACTTGAGACTGCGATGAAGGTTCACCTTCCAGCAGAATGACAATCCCAAAACTACAACCAGGGCTACAGTAATTTAGATAAAAGCATGCACATGTTTTAGAATCTAAGTCAAAGCTTGATGCAACTAAAAATCTTTTTTTAAGAATTATATATATATAAAAAAGCTGTTTGTATATGCTATCCACGTAAACCAGCTGAGTTTGAAGTATTTTCAAGCAACAATTTCTCTGCGCAAAACTGGAAGCTAGATATTTCTAATACTTGCAGCTATAATGGAAGCAAAAGCTGACCCTACAAAGAGTTGACTCGGGAGGTTGATTGCACATGCCTGAAATAGTGTTTGGATATTTGTCATAGAAAAATTAATGAATCTATGCTTGTTATCTGTTTCTCACAACATTTTGAACAACAAAAAAGAAAACATAGATAAACAAAAAAGAGAAAATGAAAAAACTAGACCTACGAAGGTCAGTTTACAAAAAAAGGAGCAGGAAAAAGTATAAAATTATTGACTTCCATCCACTTGCTACCCTATAATTTATTACCATATTACATGATTCTGTTTACAAAAAAATAGCCTTAATACGCATCGATATAGAATCTCTGAATTGAATCCATATGTATGGTGTTTATTTATACACTGTCAACATTGAAATAAATATCCAATTGGCTAATAAATGATTGCAATAGAAATGCACATTACCAAGCTCTGTACTGAAGACATATTAAACAATGTGTAGGCCTACATTCACATTCACACACACACACATATTAATAATTAATATATTCTGCAACCTAATATAACCTGACTTCCTCTCTATGGAACACATGTTTCTTGCACATGCACTTTTCAACTGAATTAAATCAGCAGCTTGAATTGAATGTCTAATTTGTTCCATAATTTCACTCCACAGATCGAGATGCACAAAAAAAGGTGAAGACAACCACGCGAGCTACTGCTTCTATTTCCCAAAGTTGTTCAGCTTTGTTGTGGTTTATTGCCAATGAAATGCATTAAAGTTTGTGGTTGTAGCGTGAAAAAATGTGAAGAAGTTATAGGATTACAGGTAATTTTTGTTTACATGATATTTGCACTCTGCCTTTTGAATTTTAAGCCTGGAATATGAGATCCATCTAACAGAATTAGGTGCAGCCTGAGCATAATCTGCCGGAATATTTGTCAGTTGAGCACTGACCATCAGTTTTATCTTCCACTATATGGCTTAATTTCTCCGGTAGTTTTTTTTTAAAAATTTATTTACTGTGCAGTAACGTGACTTCAAAGTGCTCTTTGATATGGATCTCCTGTAACATCATGACCCAAATTGCTGATCCTCAGAGATTCTGATGAAAGGCCCAAGAAAGCAAAGGATCTGATCTATAAACTGCTGTTCATTAAAACAGAAACTTTATTAGCTTATGATTATGACTCTTTTGCCAACATTATGCACAAAGGACATCTATCTAATGATAGGCTACTTCGTCACAGATATTAGCAGAGTAGAAAAAGGGGTAGAGGGTTTCTTGGACCCATATCCGAAAAGTGTTGGGCTGCCACCTAATGGTTCAGCATTAATAGTTTATTAGATATATAAAAAATGCCAAATTCACCACATTTTGTTTTAATATATAAGGTTGAAACTAGATATTTGCATTCACAATAGAAAAAGAAAGATTTTTCCTAAAATATGTTAGATTAGATCAGGGAAAATATTCCTGTTTTGAAAATATTTTGTAAATAATTTCCATTTACTAAATGGCAAAATACTGAGAGGGATTCTCTAAATATTTGTATTGTCTCCTTCAAATTCACACATTTAATTTCATTAAACTTAGTATGACTTTTAAAAAAATATCCACAGGTGGAGTTAAATATCCAAAGCACAGACAGTGCTTCCTTGTATGCCATGCAGTGTCATGCTGTCTTTTTATACCGTGGCGTCTTTGCTGTGACACTTCTATAAAAGTTTTTAAGCAGAGTTTAAATATTCTATATTAAGTGTATTAATAAGTATTATATGAAGACATCCAGTGCTTTGCATGACCATGGCATCCCTGTGCTAAAGTAATATGTGATGTATGGAAATTACATATTTATCTGCACCAATAACTTTAAAAAATAAGAAGAAAATTGATCCAAATGTACAGAGGACAGACAGGTGCAGAGGAACTTTGATTCATTTCCTTCCTTTGTCTTGTTTTGCATTGATCCCATCAACTTGCTTTCAACACTGAGAGTGAATGGCATGGGTATCACAAGACATTTGTCTGGAACCAAATTCTCCCACTTCTACATGCGGAGCACAGTCAAAGAAATTCATATTCATGCAGCACATTTCAAGTGTCACCTACTAGTATTCAGCCCCAAAGCACACTCCCAAGCTGCACGGGCCACGGAGGTGCATCAAAGCATCCCAATAATAAAAACAGTTGCCACAAGATAGATGATTTAGTTTGAAAGCAAACCACCCTATGTTCCATTTGAGATAAAAAAAAAAAAAAACTTTTCCTCAGAGAACAATTTCCGCAACATATTTTCCATCTTCCCTTTTATCTGCAAATGGACTGTTTCAATTGGCACATTTCCATTGTTTGGCTGTTTACTTTAGCTAAGAGAGTGATGGTATTGCACACAATGCAGGTCCTTTAAACACATTCATGGATAACAGAGGTGAAGCAGTGTCCAGTAACTCAAATAAGAAAGTAATTCAACAACAGGTAAAATATTCAACACTTGCGTTTTTTGTCTTTTTACAACAAGTATATCAGTGTTTTAGTTTTGGGAAATACATTTTAATTATTTTAATTAGGCACGTTGAATTTATTCATGTTTGCCTGCTGTGTCCAGACCAATTTATTTCACAATTGTAATTGCACCAGTTTCAGATTTCCTTTCTCCTTTTTTCCCCCTTTGTTTTTTCTGTCAGCAGCCTTCAAAGCTGTTCCAAGGACTTTGAGGCTGAAAATAGGAACAAAAACCATAATATTAATTCAGGGTTTATCACAATGGGCAACATGTTAAGAATGAATTACAATCCCAGGAACATTCCGTCAATATCAAATGTCAGTTGTATGTTTGCATATATATAAAAAATTTATAGATAGATATATCTATTTATTGTTTACTACAAATACAAAATATTCACTAAATGCTTTTTTTGAAGGCTGTTCTTTTAGTTAACTTCATAGCATGATTGAATCCTTGTGACTTAGTCGTATCTCTAGTGTAATTACTGCTGTGACTATCTGGGCAGGTTTCAGCAAATATCTGTGTCCTTGCAGCTAATTTTTGACTTATGAAGAGAAACACGCATCCTATTGTCTCTCCTACTTTGAAGAGTGGCTTAGAGAATTGGACCAAGTGCCAAACCATATTTATGGATATTTATTGTACCTTGCCACGATGTGACAAACGTGCCAACAGCACTGAGCTCAAAATTCATTTTACTTTCTAACAAAAGGCTTTTGGGACAAATATAACTGCAAGTGAAGACAATGAGACTGGAAAAAAAAAAAAAAAAAAAAAAAAACTGAAGCTCATTAACATACTCATTACCGTTCACCTCATTGTCCACAAGAGGTCAGACATAAACAGCAGAAGTCGTAAATAGCAGTAAGACTTATCTGTGCGCGTTTCAACTGCAGGCAAAAGTTTTCCAGGCCGCTCATAGCAAAACGCCTCATTTCTTTTCATAACTCGCTTTCAGACGAGCACAGTCGAGCTTCCCCAGTGTGAAGACACAGTTGAGAGATAAAGCGGGCCAGGCCAAGCACACAGGGCTTGATAAAGATGTTGTGATTTTTTTTTTAATCGCTTTAAATTTGCTCAAAATTGTGGCTGAAGTTCACTTTTTTTCCCTCCTTCTTCTTCTTCGTTTTAAAAGGGCAAGATGTTCGCGGGGTTGGTTTGCTATTCTCTTCCTGTTTTTTACGGGTGCAGTAAAGACGTTCCGGCCGCAGGACTCAAGTTGTTGTCACGCCTTCCACGGACAAGGAGGCAGGTTCACACAACCCGCGATCTCGGGATGTAAATTTACTCTTTGTACTGATGTTTTGCAGCCATGGGGACAGCAACGGGACTCAGATACTGTTATCTACACTTTTTCAAAGTTGTAGCAAATAGAATATTTTCCTCCTAATTATCTGCGACAGCTTTTCAACAAACCTACTTTTTCTTTTTCTTTTTTTTTCTCCCCCTTCTGTTACCCAAAACCAATGAACATCTGAGAGTCCAAGAGAGAAACTTGTTTCACAGCTTTGTTGGATTGACTCTTCAAGCAGTAATGGCCATTGCCCGGCTTGATTATGTGGCTCCGTGGTGGACATACTGGCTGCACAATTTCCCACACTTCAATTTTCTCTTCCAGTCGGTCGACAACGCTTTCAGACCGGAGGAAGCGAGCTATCAGCAGGTCGGTAACTGTACTTGTGCGTCGAAGCGCACGTATTTTATTTGCTCAACACTCACTTTCATATGTAAATATTGCATCCGGGCAGCCTATATTTTTGGGCAGAGAGCGCCTTAAACTGCTGTGTTGAGAAATAAAGGACCCTCTGTCACACACTTTCCATTATTTTCATCTGTCCACACCAGGATTTTTGTGTGTAGTTTGGTCCTGATCTAAGGAAGTTGGAAATCATGCTGTACTGCCATTTTCACATGATAACCCGTGACTTGTATTAGGAGAGTTGGTTATGATGTGCTTCTGTACCCTTACGTCAAATATCATCAAATGTAAATGATTCAAAACATGTTTAAATGTACTTTTTAGTATTTAAAGCCACTAGGACTTCAAGTATCAGAAACTAATAGCTTTATTTCCACAGGAGAAATAAGTTTAGTAGTCATGCATATCAGACTTACTATTTCATTTATAGCATGACATTTTCCCCCCTAACCTATAATTAACATTCTGCATATCAGCAAAAAATATTTCTGTCAAGTTTTATTATTATTATTATTATTATTATTATTATTATTTCTAAAATCTGAACTTCTCTTTTTACTCAATTTTCATTTCCAACATCTTTGGAGAATACCACTCACCTCAAAAATTCCTGTTATCCATATCCAATCAGATGTGAAGTATTAAAATCGACACTTTAAACATAAGTTGTACTGCAGAAGATAAAATAAATTGCTGTACACAATCCATCGTGGAGCTCAGTTCCTGTGATTAAAATGGGATCTGTAATGAAATGCATATTGCAAAAGTCATGCTCAGTTGAAGTCAGATTTCCACCTGCAATCCACAAAAAGAAAAAAAAAATAGTAGCGTTTATCTGTTTTGTACTCCAATTTCAATTTGGTCTCTGATATGTTTGCTTCCATACAGGGATATATTGCTATATCTCAGTACTTTAAGAATCAAAGCATACACATAGCACCTAAAATTAGATGCTGTTTTTCTGTTCCAATCAGTCATACAGCTTCTTTTTTCAGGTAGGAAAGTAACAGTTCTTATTTTATATAAGCCTCTGTTTCTTTAATCTGCATTGCTTTAAGAAAACGTAGCACCTTCTCAATCTCTGTGAAACTTGTGTATTGCTCACAAGTTTCTATCTATCTATTTGAAACGTATGAAAAATGTTGAGAAAAACATCACTAACATAAATCTGTGGTTGCCTTTTGTGATTTAATTCAATTATAATGAAATTGGCTTACACACTTTAGCCAATTTCATACTATCATCTTTTTGCCACCACAGATGATCAATATTTTCTGGTTAATGTCAGTTCAGTTGTTGTTCTTTAGTGTTTGTCTTCCGTCTCTCTCCCCGTCATGCATCTGTTCCCTTGTTATGGGCCTGGCATCCAGTGGAAATTGAAGTGTCAACATGTGTAATTACCAAACAATTGAGTGGAAAATTAGAGAAGCAAGTAGAGGCAGCATTGCTGCTGTAAAGAGCCTGAACTGAGTTGTTGTGACAGAAAATCCAACCAGTTTGAACCTCTCATGGGCTCACTTCTGGCTCATCAGAAGTGACCTCCACTAAACCATTAGCGAGTCAGTGGATTAGCAGTTTGGCCTTGATTGAAGTTAAGATGAGACCAGTTGTCCTCTACTCATTGTTTGGGTTGGTTTAAGCTTGTGCATTTAAACTTAAATGTTTGATCATTTTAAAAAGGAAAATCTGGATTAAAATGGGGAAAAAGATCTGAGCATTACATGAATTCAATCATGTGTTCAACAATGAGTCCATGTTTCCATGCAGTCTGGGAAAGTTTGAAAATGTAGTACATGCAGTACCTGGAAAAAAAATTATTTCCAGATTTTATTCCCTCATCCATTTCCACAGACTCTCATCCTTCTTTTCCTCCTTCCTTCCATAGATTTCCACAGATATGATTTTGAATAAACATATAATTTCGACATAAATATGTGCAGGAACCTGTTTTCATGGTTTTGTTAGAATCCACCAGCTTTTTTGTCAGAGTCTAACCATATTACACTAATTCAAATTCAGCTGCAGTGCCAACTGAATCCAAATGTAATGATTAGTCAGAGATGAAGGTGTAAAATCATTTTGTCAGTCAGCCAGGCATCCACTTTGAACTTTTCAGCATTGATATTTGCAGAGCAAATTATTTGCAAGTACAATTAGGGTCATGCTTTTGTCATGTCTTTGAACCTAATCGACTGCTGCAATAATATGAGTTTCAAGTCCTTAAATGATCCCAGTAATGAAATGTGTTTCATGTGCATCGTTTTATTATTTGTTAACAAAAGGGTTTTTCAAGTGAATAATTTCCTGTTTCTTTTTTTCTGCAACAGTGACCCCTTCCCCCCTTGTGTGTGTACAGTCTTCAAGCTTCAAATACTTTGCACATTCAGAAATCACAAGACTAAAGGAAAGACACCAAGTCACATGACCCTCCCTTCCAACAGTCCTGATAATTTTGTCCTTCTCTCTCAGCCGCAGTCAGAGATTATTTTTAAGATGTACTTTCCCTAAGACGACAAAGAGCTATGCTCTTTTTTTTTCTGTCTTAATTTTATGTGGTCAACGGTTAGCAGTAATAATGTTAATAATGTTGACAAGCGTGATATGTCGGCTCTCTAACCTCAGTAACATCTTTGAACTTGACTGCTGTTGCTCTTGGCGGGTTGTTTTGACTCAATTAATCCACCACAAGGTCGATGGGGTCAGCACTTACATAAGATTTGTTGACAAATTTAAAAAGCTCATAACAGCCATTAATTTCACTGATGGTATCTTTTTTGTTTTCTTACTTTTCTCAGTCTCTAACAGTTTTGGCTTGTGCTGGTGCTATCGGACTCGCTCTGAGCCTCCTAATTCTGGCCGTGTACTTGGTGTGTCTATTCTGCTGCCGTCGGAGCCTGGATGAAGAAACCAAACGGCCCGACACCTGTTGTGTCACGTGGGTCGCAGTTATTACGGGTCTCATAATATGGTAAGTTATAAAATAATCCTATTGAGTTTGGTCTTTTTCCAGAGCTGCATCGAGATGAGGATGTTGGTCAATTAAGTGACGCAGTCACCAAATGAACCTGGTCATTATAGGTTTCGTCTGGATTAGCATTTACTGGTGTCTCAAATCTAATTCTCTCTTAAATTGTCATTGATGCCTGAGAAAAAAAAATCTAGTAAACAGTTGTAATGAAGTCTCCAGTTTTCTTTGTTAAATTTACAGCTTTTTGTGATGATCTTGGATGCAGTGGCTTTTTATTTCTTTGTATCTTCTGTTGTTTTAAACTCCTTGACCTCACAGAATGTGTTGCTCTGTGCATGTCGGTCCATGTGGATAGGGAGTGCTATTAGAGCAGCCAAGACTACTTGAAAATCTCACAGTGCTCAGCTTGTCATCTCCTGACAGGTGTGCCATCAAGCAGGATTAATGGCTTAGTTTTTGGTGCTACAAAAATCTCTTTTTTGATAAAGATCCCCACTGTAAGAGCACAGTCTGCTTTGTCTCAGTTTGTTACAGCACTTTTAGATAAAATGATGCTTGAAACGTTCCACAAACTTTATGCATATTATAAATTTGTTTTTGATAATCATTCAGTGGAGAAATAGTCTGACTTTATTTAATTTTTTATGTTTTCTAACTTTATATCATTCATATCATAACTAGAACAATTGTAAGGCACATTTAGCACCCAAATAAAAGGAGCCTTCTTAATTGTGCAAAAGTAACAGTGTGAGAAGAATGTCCTTAATATCCTACTGCTATGTGGCTTTTAATTTGGTAGTTTTCCCTAATATACAAATATTTATTCTCGAAACAAAATCCAAGACTATTTAAATCTATTTAAATAAGAGCAAATCTTACCTCCACAAGTAAGTAGCACTCTCACTCAGCCTTGAACTCAAAAATCATCTCCAAAGGTTGGTTTTCTCACATTTCACAACAAAAACACGAAAGTCAGGAGAATCACCTATTGCAATGACCTACAATTAAAAGATATAAGTGCTGAAAACTCACAACACACAGCAGAGGTGGGCACTCCTGGTCCTCAAGGGCCGGTGTCCTGCAACTCTTGGATGTCTCCCTGGTCCAACACACCTGAATCCAATAGCTGAATCACCTCCTAAATGCAGTCAAGTTATCCAGAGTCCTGCTAATGACCTCTTTATTTGACTCAGGTGTGTTGAAGTAGAGCTACATCTAAAAGTTGCAGGAGACCTGTATTTTACCCTGTTGTCCATTTAACTTTCACCAGCTTCCCTGCACCTGCTATAAAAGACCACTGTGAGGCTTCCACCTTGATATTTTCCAGTTAGGATGATGTGTATACAATAATGTGCAGCATTAGCTTTCGTTCGTGCAAAGCCTTTTGTGTGTTAGCCAGGAAGGTCAGAGTTGCTCGTATCTGACCTCATTCCACATGTTTCGGTGTGTTCCCTACACGTGTTGTTTGTTACAGAAAACAAGCATCTCTTTGAAAAATGACTTTATTCTTGGCAGTGTTCTATGAGACTGAGATTTATAGAATGCATGACTAATAGTTTTCATCTAAACAGATCTCAAGTAACCTGAGGATCTTTGCAGAATGCCTAGAAATTGAGAGGCTGCATTTGCTGCTTTTCTGATTAATGTTCTTCTTGCCCAGCCTGTCAGTTTAGGGCACAGAACTTCTCAGAACTTTCTCTCTGACTTGTTTGCTGTGTTCTTTCAATTTGATGATGCTGTATGTTCACTAATGTTTCCTGACAAATCTATGTGTCCTTGTGGAGCACTGCAAAAGTGAGTGAGTGAGCTTTATGTATTTTGTAGCTTTCACAGACATAAATAAAATTCAGAGCATAAAAATTGAAACATGATACCCACAATTTATTTCAATCAGCTCTAAAATGAATTCACTACCTTTTGAGCAAGAAAAAGTATCAAACCATATACAGAAGACCTTCCATCCCATTTATATAAAAGGACACTGAGTGCAATGCTTGAAATAAGAAAGACAGCTTGCAAACATTTTCATTTTAACTGTTATTTCTGAGTGCAGCATCAGGTTTTTAGAGCCATATAACACAAAGACAGCTTGGCTGTATTCATCTTCCTTTATGTTATACACCTTTGCATCAATAAGAGAGAAAAAAAGAAGGGTATTGGAATCAAGATGAGATAGTTGGGTTTTATGGGTAACTAGACAAGTGTGAAGCTTTTGGAGTTGCATCGTAGAAATGAATGTGCATTTGCATATGATTTATTGTCGAAAGGCACCTAAATTAAACCAAAAGAATTGGGTTTAAAAAGATCTTAATTTAATTGTTACACTGATCCAGTTAAGGTTGTGACACTGATGGGATTTAACTTCGTTAGCTCCCTTTATCTATACCTAACAACTACTACAGCACATGAAACTACTGCTGCATGCAATGCTATGTAAGAGGGCATGATGTTGTTATGGAAGGTTGTTCTTGACCTCACTATGTCATGTTTGCTGTGGTAACTATTGCTTTAATTATAGCACAAAAATTTTAAAGAAGTGCACACTGTGTGATATTTCTCTTACATCTGAACAGGATATTCCACAAATAAATGGGATTTTATGGCCAATCTACTTCAGAAATGTCCTTTAATTGATGTTGTTGAGATAATCATAGATTGTTGGATTCCTATTTGACCTCACAGAATTGATTATGTATAATTAAAGAAGGACGTGCCTCATCACATAAGGTCCTGTGGTTGATAGTGTTATCAGATCAGCGCAAGTCATCTGGTTGTCAGTGACCCTGTAAGAACACATGGGATGTTCTGGTGTATTGACAGCCAAGCTAGCAGCAAATTATAATGCGCAGATTCACATAAAAATAGGAATATTAATTTTTTTAAAAATAGAAAGAAACTAGATGAATAAGAGGAGAGTACCCCAGATGTTAAAAACGCTTAACTTTACAGCTGTCATATGGTGGGATGTTTGTTTGATATACTGAATATGTTCTTCTACTTTTATAAAACCAAATTTTGGTTTTATAAAAGTAGTATGCTGTATGTGTTATTCACTACATACAGCTTTACAATCAGCACATTTCATTAAATTTACAGCTATAAGAGACAAAGCACATCCCTTAATGTTTTTTTCTTATAAAAGGATTGGGGTAAATTCAATTTAGTTATTAAATTTAATATAAAAAAATTCTCCCTTGATTCAGTTTCAGTTGCCTCTAATGTAGTTTGGAGTCTTTTTTTTCCCCTACTGGGGGCTGTGTTGTTTAGCTCCATGCATAGAAGACAAACAGAATTTCTTGTTTACTCGTTCACACAACAAAATATTGTGGCATCTATATATCCTGTTCTTTGTCCCGGTTCTTTATTGCTTTCCTTTCCTTTTGTATCTTCTGGTTGCTACAGGGAGAGGTTTTGCACTGCCTCAAAATTCCTAATGCTTCCCTTGAGGCTAAACTGCCCCATGATGTTCAGTGTGCCTCATTATTGTTTCATTACTGAGTCATTAGGTGCTCCTCATTGTTGCTGATGTGTCATCTTGGCAGCAGGGTTAATGAAGAGCTTATTGTGAAGGCCAACACATATCAGCTCAAACACAGAAGCTTTGAAAAGCATAAAGCACATCAATGTTGTGTGGTTTCTTAACCAAACTCAATTTAGTATTTTTTTAAACACAACCGTGTAGCTGAACTTATACAGACTACTCTAATTGCATCTGTTTTTGGTTAGATTTGATTGTACTTAATGCGCCCCCGTGACCTTTTTCAGAACTAAAAGAGAGAAACGAAGCAGGTTTTCTGTTTTATGTGCAAATCTAAATAACCTCCACCATTTCTAACTATGATGCCTAATGTTATTTAAATTATAGAAATGGAATAAGAAGTTTCAAACATGTTTGAGTTATTACTGCTCATTTTAGTGTAGATTGGTTGAAGTAGGGTTTAACTAACTGATCTAATCCTCCCTACTGTGGAGGCTTGGGCTCAGTTCTGGGAGACCAAAGAAGGTGAGAATAATGGATTGGGGGTATCTCACTATGGTGCCTTCTCTCTTGCTGGTTTGAATGCAGACACGGATTCAGCCATCACGAACTCATGTAACAAAATTTTTTAGTAAGAAACATGAAATTGTAATGCACAGAGCACATGGATAATGGATAGAGAGATATCCTATTGAAAATTATGAAATTCAGTTTGCCATTCTGCTGAGGTTTTGTGTGATCCTTGCCCATATTTCGGCAAAGTACAAAGAGACAAGTGATACAAACGTTGTTGGTGAATTTATTCAAACACAAAACCGATGTTAAGGCATCACAAAGGTGTGTATTTAATGTTTTGCTAGAACGAATGTACACTATTTGCATTATAGTTGAAATGTAACAAAATGAAATCCTGCCAACAAATCAAATAATTTCCTTTTTCTAAAATTCTCCATCGTGCAGTTCTGCTGTAGGCGTGGGTTTCTATGGGAACAGCGAGACCAACGATGGGGTCTACCAACTGACCTACTCCCTCTACCATGCCAATCACACTCTGGATAGTATCAACAGTCTGGTGAGAGAAGCCCTCCAACCTCTGCAATTCACAACATCATGAATATTGAAAATGTCATGTTAATCAGATCAGTATATCACCTCTGCTAAAAGCGTTTACTTTTATTGGAGGTAAAAGAGTCAGTTATATAAGGTAAAAATTCACTTCTATTTCATACTTTGCCAGCTTCATAAATAGTTTGGTTTATGAAAGCAGGCTGTTTATCTGCAATACAAATCAAGAAGTTGACCAGGCAATAACAGTGAAACTAGAAAATATGATCTCTAAGATGTGCTGTGAATGCTTCTTTCATTATTAATAATTTAGAAAACAGCAAATGTGTGATCCTTGCGTGGCATGTTGGAAGAACAGCATTACAGCCGGTAAACAACAGAGCCCACTCTGTTTAGAGCAGCACTTCACTGCAGTGGGTATGTATCCACTGTTTTTGTCACACTAGGGGAATTTAGGTGACTTCTGTTGGAGGATGTGTAAATGGGGATTATTTCCATACAACTCCTGACCTGTATTCAGGGAAGTTATTCTGGGAGGCTTAGGGGCAGAAGGAATTGGAAAGAAGAAGGAGAGTAAGAAAGCAGCCTCGCAAGAAGCAATAATCACAATGAGGAAGAAGAGGATTAACTCCCATCTGCTGTGCATTAATGGATGCTAAGCCGCTCGTCTTTCTATCTTCTGCAGTCCCACTATCTATGGCACATGTGTGTATTCTTGAACATGTCAGTATTATATAGCCACTTAAAGGGCTCATACATCACATATTTTATCACCATTGAGACAAATTAGCGTTCCAACTAGATTGTTATTTCTGTCTATTAATGGCAAAATGAGATTTGCATGACACTTTAAACTGGGCGTGAAAACAGAAATTTGAGATTATCATTGTTCTAATGTTATGTGCTTTGTTAAAGGACACTTTTTAAAAAAGAGGATAAGTATATTTTAAGCACTTTTCAGAAGTTGAGATCTTTTAATTTGCCAAAAAACCTATTACCATATACGGATAGCAGCAGAGAGCATATAATGGCACCATCTGCAAACCTCTTCCGGTAATCTCAGAAAATACTGTTTTTTTTTTTCATAAAAAGATGATCATGATGGGAAGGGGTCAAAGGGAAAAGTGGGAAAATGGTTGTTTATTGGCAAGACAGGTAAAGCATTGAGTGAGCACTTTTGCTGCAGATATCCTCTTATGCAGAAAATGTGAATGACCTCCATGGAAGTGAAGCAGACGCACTTTCCCTCACTCACAAAAAGGACTCTTTGCACAAAATGCTTTTTCCCCTGAATTATGACACAGTTGGAATCTTGAATTCAAGGGAAGAAACAACCAATAACTCAGTAAGGAAAACATGATATAAGTTATGATGTAGCTTGGACAAATATCATCAGAAATGAGTAAACAAATATTCCAAAAAGATGGTCTTGGCCGCTGTTTGTGAGCATAAAGTTTGTTAGTTAAAAAACATCTTTGCAACGTGCTTTCATTTTTATGTGTCCACCACTCCTAGCCTTCTTGTATTGAAATTATTGTTTTTGTCTCCAAGCTACTACTCTCAGACGTTGTTTTATTCAGGCCCCTATCCGCCTCACTGGATCCATCATCATTTGAATCTTCATTTTAGGAACTCAAATAAAAGCTGGAGGTTTTTCGTTTAACTTTTACTACCTTTGCTTTGGGTTTTATGTGTTATGCTTTTGGGTTTTCCTTTGGTTGTAGATTGTTGTTTATTCTCTGTTGTCTTGACCTTGCTCTTTTCCTATTTCCTTTTTTGCTTCTGTATTTTTACATTTCAGTCATAACAATTCAAATGACTAATCCTGAATATAACTGAGAAGTAAATTTGTAAAAAAAAAAAAAAATAATAATAATAATAATAATATTTGCCCTTTAAGGTCCTTACAATACTAAGTTATAATATAACAGTTAAAACATTTCTTACAAAACAACTGAAAAACACAGCAAGCCAATTTTGGGAAAGTTATTTTTAACTACATTATTCAGTGCTAGATGTAACAATAACTGTAGAGGTGGAATGCAGCTTTGATTATTCTACACTCTTTCAGTTGACTTCCTCTCAGGTTTCCTTTATTGATTCAACCCTAAAGCATGATATATATCATGGCTGCATACGAAGAATTAATGCTCCCCAGAGAAACAAAGGCTTTCTTGTGTGCAAAATTGTAGGCTGATGCATCTTACTCCACTTACAGAGCTGATGACTTGGGCATCGAGCTGTCCTAGAAAGCTGAAGCTGATTTTGGTAGTGTTTAGTCTTGCAATTTAGAGTAAAAAGACAATTTTTTTTTGTTAGTGTTTTTGACTGGTTTGAGCGGTTTTGTTTTTCACCTATTTTGCAGCATTTTGGTAATTTATTTTTTATGTTTTGTAAAGAAGTAATCCAATCTTAGTCATCCTTTCTATTTTCATATCAGCTTCACAGTTCTTTACCTAGGTCAGTGATTTTCTCTAAGAAACGTTGATGCTGCTCATGGCTTTTAAGGGTGTTCCTATAATGAAATTGACAGGCTGCCTGTGATGTCTCATAGTGAGAAAGATTAGATACAGACCATTCTCCTTTTGCTATTGAACGGGGCCTTTGATTGTTCACACGCTTTCTATAATTCAGTCTTGTTTCTCATGTTCAGCTTGCAATATTAAGGGCTCTTCACAGCTGCCAGGAAATAATGGGTGAGAGAACATTGCAATCACACTGTATCGAAATGTGCATTTCCAATTTAAGGGAGTGCACACATTTTTACGTGCTGCTTCCTTTTTAAAGTTAAAAGCTCCTTTGTGATTTTTGCAACCAAATGATTGCTACTTTTTGCCTCATGAATATGTTATATTAATTGTCTTTTTTCTGGAACCTGATTCTAAGTCTTTTATCTTTGTTGACTTTAAAATTCCACGATTAATTTTTATAGCAAAAGGAACGAAGTGATACTGTTGAGCCGTGGATTTAAAAAAGGTATTTTAGGCAAAGCAGCAGCAGAGTCTCAGTTACAGCCATGTCCAGTATGGAGAATCTTCTTTATGACCCGCTTTTCTGAGTGGGAAAAAAGAACTATAATCCATTTTTAAAGGGAGACAGGGCAGTCCAGATTAGGGAAATGTGGACCACCCCCAGCAACTTCCACAGCAACTCACTGATGGATTCCATTTTTCACAGTCAGGCAGAAGGCGTGTGGATAAGATCCGAGGCGTTCTGGCAGGAACTGTGAGGGATGATGAACATAGGGGTGGGGAGTGAGAGCAGGTTACTGGCAATCGTAACACTCTACCCTTTGGGACTGCTTCAGTAGAGGCAGGGCCTGTATCTGTGCAGCATCTCCACATCAGTGCTCATTCTGTGAACCTACTTAGAAATCATTCTTGGCATCTCTCAGCAAAACTTAATCAGGGTTATGATGTTTCTGCAGTGTTGAGGAGGCAGATAAACTATCTTCCTTGAGATACGGTTTCATAGTGAAGGACTGAACTTTCTCGGCTAAGTTTATCTAATGAGTTGAAGAAATGAAAAGTTATGGTGAAAAAATGCAAAGAAAGAACTTCAAGATACTGCTCACTGATGATGGGCTGCAGAATTTAACATCTGTTCAGGATAACTTTGCACCATCAATTTTTTGTAAAGTTTAGAACCCAAACTGAAACGCTTTGATGTTTATTTTTATATGTCTTTGAAGATAAGAAATCCTATGCAGTTTAACATTTAACCAAACTGCATGATTGACAACAAACCCTGTACACACGCTTTTTTAAACATGTAAATCTTTGCTCATTGCTTTAAGTTTTTTGCTTAAAATAGTCAAAGTTATATAATAGTCAAAATAAGTGAACATGTGGCAGACGGTTGCTGAGAACTTGTTAGGAGCTGGACATGGAACATTATGGTCATAGTGAGTGTTCAAGCGAGAAGGACATTTGAAAAATTGTATAAATTTAGCAGAAAATACTGTTCTTAATCAACCTGTTCTAAAAATTCGGAAGGATCTGAAAATATTTGCTAATATGAAATCCAAGAAATATGTCTTAGTGAAACGAACTGCTAACTTCTTGTTCTAAGCACAAACACTGGTTAAGACAGAATTTTGAAAATTATTTGTTATTCACAGGTAATAGAAAGCATTCAAAAGTGAACATAAAAATATGCTGTATTTGTCATCAGAACAAAGCAGAAAAGAAACATGGTGGGTGTTCGAAAATAGCAGCTGCGAATTGCAGACAAAGGAGGGCACCTGGATATAGAAAAATGGAGGAAGAATACTCAAATTTATTCAGGAAAAGATTCCAACAAGGGAAATGAGAATAAATATAAGATCCCCTGCTGTCTTGATATCAATTGGTAAGAAACTAATCTAGCAGAGCTGAGTTTCGACTGAATCATATACATCAACTTGATGACCTCAAATGCGCAACTCCTCTTTGTTTAATTAGAGGGTTAATTAGAGATGTATTGATCAGAGTTTTTGTGGCTGACTTACGATTCCTGATTGTTTTCAAACATCTTATCTCTTGATATAGATTTGATCTGATTCTGTGTTCTCTAAAAATAAAACAATTTACATTGAAAAGTTGAATGTTTTCTACTTTGTGGGGAAAATTACTGTCATCGCATAATGTATAACAAACAAAACAGGACCGGATTAAATAGTCGTGCTCTGCATTGTTGGAAATCTACATTTACAATGAAATTTCCCAGGTCCTTGGGCAAAAACACCCACAGTTAAAACCTAACTGTGCATTAATTTTTATTTTTATTTTATTTTAAATATAAAATATAAATATTCCCACATTTATTTTTGTATTCTCTGTCACTTGTTCAGAGTCTTGAGGTTTTAAATCTGTCTGTGAATTAAAAGAACAGTGACTCAATTCCTTTGTATTCATTCAAAAATAAATGCAAAATGTATTTGCTCTTTTTAGTGATGCTTCTTGTAAATTTCATGTAATCAAAGACTTGTGCAATAACATGTCTTTAAAGAATTATTAGTTTTACATTCTGACATTATTTACTCCTGTAAAACACAGTTGGGAGATATGTTATGTATATTAGCTCTTTTATCTCCTATGTTGTATTTTTTATCTGTTTGTATTCTGATTTTGTAGTTGATCTAATTTATTTTTGTTTGAGGTGCTGCTGTGTTAGTGTGATACAAATTTTTCCTCTGATTTCACATTCTTCTTTTTTGTCTCTTTTGTCTCCAGTGTGATAACCTTTTCACAGACACTTTTTTAAAATGTATTTATTTTTGTGCTTGTTTAGGTTGAAGGAGCTCGAAGCAATGTGGAAGCTGGACTTAAACAGCACCTAGAAAGGCTGGATGAGATCTTTGCCACAAAGATTGAGTATCTCCAGGCTCTGCGCTTCCTGCAACTAATGGTCAACAACATTATCCGCGAGCTGACGGCTCTGCCAGACATCAACAAGTCCGAGATTGACTTGGCAGCCATTGCAGACCAGACTGCTTTCATTGAGTATTACAGGTAGGTGGAGCTTAAGCAGCTCCACTAACTTGATAGAGATGATTTTGGTTTATATGCATGCAGATGGGGCAAACATGCTGCTTCGAATGAAACAGCAGTAGAGATACAACTCAGACACAGAGCAGATGGGATTTTATTGATCTCTCCTGAGAAATTCAACCCGGAAAAGCTATTTGTCCTGATTGCTAAATAAATGGAAGTTGAAATTGAGCTCATTTTCCATCATGCAGTTGAGTTCTTACACATATGCCCTCCCCAGATAATTATGCATGGCAGAGTGCCTATTTAGTCATAAATGATCTCCATATCCGAAAATGGTTAAGTCAATGCTAGTGTGTAAGTTCCTTGATGCCAGACATCAGTAAATCTATCTGTCTGTCTGTCTGTCTATCTGTCTGTCTGTCCATAATCCTGTAGTTACAGGAAGTTACAAGAATACAAAGTGATTCCTCAAATTCCAAGCAAAGCGCAACCATCCACAAACACACATTGTACTATTAGTACTAAAACCTCCCAATAACAATTTCATTCATCACCCACCAGGACTCCACATGGTGTGTATTTTTTCTACCAAAACCGGATTTTCCTTTGGACCACAGTTATCTGACACTGATCCCCCGGCTCTTGATTGGATTTTATGTGGCCATTGAACAACCTGCAGCAGAGTTTTATTGAACAGAAAATGTTACAGCAATCCAGTGCTACTTGGGGAAAAAAAATGACACTATTCTGTTATTCTAGCATTATAGTTTTCTCTACTCTCTCTTTGAATTCACTTACGTCAAGATGCTTCAGCAGTTCTGCTTTCAGAGACAAAGTAAAACTCCACCGCCTCCATTCATTTATGGTCTTCTACGAGTGAAGTAATGGTTTATTGAGTTAAGAGTACCTCTGCACTTCTTTGTAAGCAGGAGGGAATCATATTCGGCACTAATTATATAGCACAGAATGAATGGTCTAGTAAATGGTGAGTTCATAGTGTCTTGAAGATTTGCCTGCTTGAATCACGTTGCAAATATATCTCAAATGTATCATGCTGTTGAGCCACTGGGTGCTGAGACTTACTCATAGGAACTTGCTTGGCTGGCCCCAGAACACATATATGCACACTCACACTTCAAGAGGAACCTCAGTGTCAGCCATTCTTGTGAAGGACATTTTCAGTGGAAAATGAAAAATTAATGTCCATGGATTGGCTGTGTTGAATTATTAAGCCCAACAAGATGGAAATTACCTGCTACAGACAGACTCTTAGTAGAAGACAAGGGTGCTGATAGAAGAGCCATACAGACATGTTACACCTCATTCGTGGACAAATGTCGGGCCAGCATGTGCTGATTGTATGTTTGCATATCGAATGTTGTTTGTATGCAAAAGGTAACAGTGAAGCTTTTTCTTGATGCAGCACTCTTCTGTTTTGCAGATGGCTGACTTACCTCCTGCTGCTGATCCTTGACCTGGTCATCTGCTTGGTCATGTGCTTGGGAATAGCAAAACAGTCTCAATGTCTGCTGATCACGTAGGTACCATGAATGCGAACTTAAAGGAATCTGCCTCTTATCTCAGTGTAAGGCTCCATTTTCTGTGTGTTTGTTGTTCTGATTGAGAGATCACAGTAAGGATGGGCTTCAGCCAGACTCACTGGTACCATAAAAAATGACCCCCTCCATTAACAGAACCCAAGATAGCATTAGATTTTCAAATAGCTCTTATTTATCTCCTGAGTGGCATCTCCTTCATCTGCAAATACAATTACAGCAGCCTTAATCTACCAAACCCTTAGTCAAAGCAGCTGATTGAAAATAGCTTCAAATTAAAAAAACTAAAGAAAATCGACAGAGACGGTGCAGTAACGCTTGGTTCTTTAAATTTACGGCAGTGATACAAACCAGCAATGATGTCTGACAGGCAAATCCACATTTCAGGCTCCCTATCCCATTTGCCCAATTTAGTGCAACCTACGTGTCAGTGTTACCAGATGATGCTCAGGATCGCTACTCACATCCCTCTCTAATGGGCCCCCACTAATGCCTATTGATCGGCTGAGAAGGATAAGACTGCTCCCTTAACTAATTATTAAGTGCTCTCAGGCTGCTTTATTGGTGCTTTCAAGAGGGTCCGAAGAGTGAGTCAGTGCAGCGAAGCCGTCCTCTGCCTTTTTATATCCATCACAGGGCCATTTTTTCCTCCTTTTACACCGCTTATCTAGCCCACACGCAGAGCCCTTTCTCAAGCTTCATGCCAGCAGTCACTTTAAAAATCTTGATAATAGTTGGAAAATTTTGTGCAATAGTATCTTTGTGCAACTCTTCAACATTAAAGCGCTGTCAGTTGTCAGTCCTTTAAGGCTAAGCAAAACTAGACCACCAGCCGTCTCTCCAATACTTAATGGTGGTTAGAAGCCAGCAGATTCCGACTGGAGCCTGTGAAACTATTACTGGAGTTTAATTAAGTAGAACATTTTCACAGTTTCTTGTTGGCTTTAATCTATAATGCACCACAGCATTGTGGGTTATGCTTATAAGCTGATAAGAGTAAATCTTCAGTCAATAGACAAGAGGAAAAAGCACATTTATGGTTTGAAATTGAGATAGAGTCTTATTGAGAGAAAGTATTTTGTAGATTTTTGTGAAAATCCTTCTATAATATCTATATCTGCCTTTAACACTGTCAGTCTCCATAATGCTCTTATTTTCTCTAGGATCATTGGTTTTGTGATACTATCCTTGGTTCTAAGCTGGGCTGCACTAGGAAGTGGCACCGCAACAGCTGTGGTGAGTAAAAGAGGCACATCTGTTATAAAACAGCTTAAAAAAAAACATTTCCCATTATGCTGCTTAAAGAGGCTTTTTCATTTACTTTCTTATATTTGTTTCATGCAGTTCCTCCGAAGAGGATATCTGCCAATAAGCTTCTGGACCAACTAATAAACATGTTGATTTCTTTAAAGGAGTCTGTGTAGTTTATATTAAGCTCTTTACTAAGGTCAGCCACACAGTAAAGCTGATTACGCATCCCAAGTCTTTTAGATCCAAGAGTCTTTAACCTCACTGCAAACAAAGGAGCTTCCTAGCTTTAATTGCGGCTTCTGCTTTCTTTAAAATCTCTTTTTTAAGATCTCGTTCTTAAAGAAAGCTTGTTTGTCTCCTGCTTCTTTTAAGGTTCCTTATTTTTCACAGCTTGTTCTATCTTAGAAGCTCTTCACCATGTGTTCAGCGCATCTAGGTTTTATGTGGTTAATGGTGCTCGCATTAGGAACGCTGTTGGGGGTTTAGAAGATAACTCTATGGTTCCAGCCTTCCCCCATCCCTCGTGTCCACGACAGACAAACCTCACATCTGTGTGTTGACACTGAGGATTTGACATCTGGTCAAAGTTTCAAGGGAGACAAAAGGAAGAGACTGTGTAAAAGTTTCAAACCAAAGTTGAAGGCAGACCAGTGAAGACGCTACTGCTGCAGTAATCAATTCGGCTAAAGATAAAAGCATGGATACATTTCTATAGATCTTGCTGGGATATTAGGTCTTTATTTCTAGAAATGTCTGTCAGGTGACGGAAGGCTGACTTTGTCATTGTCTTTATTCGTATTTGAAAGTCCAGGTCGGGGTTCATCACTACAGCAAGATTTCAGGCCTGATCATTCAGTTCTAGCTATAATAAGTGAGGCTGAGTGCTGACTTTTTATCATTCCAAAAAAAATAAATTCCAGTTTGATGAAGGATTGTGTTTAGGACTACAAAACAAAAAAGTTTACCTTCCCTAAAGTTGCCTGTTAATTGACATAATTTGAAGGTGATGTTTTTTTAAAGACTCTTGTGTTTTATGGTGAGAAGTTTTTGAAACCTGGCCAATGTCTGGAGTGAAACATTACTTCCTTTTTACAGGCAAAAGTGCTTTCGTCACATTTGATGTGACTTCGACCTTCAATCAGGAAGTTACAAATAAATGTAATTTTGAGGTCCGACCCCTTAATGGTTAAGTTTAAAGCTGATCAAGTTCAAAGTTCTTAGAAGGAGCTCATGTGTAAAATATCAAGATAGTGGATTTAAATCAAAATGGCTGATATCCTGTTTTGATGAGAAACTTTTTTCTGCCCTGCATAAATATGGATGTATATACAAATTGTAAAACTACTTTGTGGAGCTGCAGCTTAGGGGTCTCTGTGGAGCTTTTTTTCCTCTCTTTTTTCTTTTTGTAACCTTTAATACCCATAGATTTTCACCACCCTTAATGCCTGTGTAATGCTTGTTGAGTCTTTGCCAGTTTTCCGATTTTCAAGAAGGCAATTCATTTAGCAAAAAACTAAACCAAAAAAACAAAAACCATGGGAGAATAAATGTTCTCAATAGCACTGCTGAGGGGTTATTATTCTAGATACATAGATAGTTTGGCTTTTGCCGATTCTCATCCGCTGACCCATTAGCAATTGACTGCAGATTATTATTTTTTAAATGTCTCTGCAATAAAGCCTCCAAGATGTCAAACTCAGATTATCTAGAATACTTGGGTAGCATTTGTTTGTGTTGAGTTCTTTCATCCATCTTATTGTGGAATAACAGGTGAACTGGGGTAAATTTACCAAACAATTATCCTCATCAGTTAGCCAACCTGCTGGCATCTTTCCATATACAATATACATCAGAAATGTCCTAATGTTGTTGTTTTTTTTTGGTAGCAAGATCAACTTGCGTGTAAAAAAATCTTGTTCTCCAATGTAGGACATTATGCAAAAACAAGCAAATAAACTTGTTGCACCTACACATCATTAGTTAAAAAAAACATGTTTTTTTTTCATATGAGACATGATGATGGTGGTGTCCTAGAAAATCCTCAGATTTATACATATTTGATGAGAAGGAGCATAAACAAAATGTCCCTACAAGTATAATGAGACAGAGATGGAGAGCAACTTCCAGGCAGTCCTGGGTTGAAAACAGTGTCATGTGATTGGGACAAGCGTGTGCTTCATGCAGGAGTTTGCATGTTTGATCGTCTTTCTTGGATTCAGGACTTTAAAACAATTACTGTGAAATATGCATGCATTTACTTTTAGTGTCTCATTATGCTAAGTTACAGTCAGATTACAGAGTGGTGATCAGCGTTTAAGGTCTTTGGTTCGGCAAACCATAGGTTTGTGGTAGTCTTACACAGATTTCACTTTCAAAGACTAACACTATTTGTGTCAGAATGATACTAACGAGCAAGTAGTTACAGACTATAATGAGCCTGCTGAGTCATTTGTTACATATGGGTCTTCTGTAGTTTTGTACCATAAACATAATGAGATTCTCTCAATACACAATTCACTAAAAATACCACAGTATTCCTGTAAAAGCAGAATGTATAGTATGATCTAATTTGTTTAATTTAAAACAGAGATGTTGCAAATTAATCATGCTCCTTAAAAATAACATAACATTAATTATTATAACATTTTTGTAAAGTGGTCTTGATGTTGATACAAAGTTAGTGAAATGTTCAACTTATCACCCACAAAATTTAATGTTAATTTTCAAGCAAATTTAACTATTACATATTAAGCACAGTTGGCATTCAGCTTTATGGAAATTATGAGGCTATTATGAGTTAATTCATTATGCCATCTGGATGGACGCCTGATTCATAAACATGTGGCTCCTACCTTTACCATTATAAAGTAGTTAAGAAAATTTTGTCTTCATAAATGTAATGAGTGGTGCTCCATGTTTAGTAGAAATCTAAACGTATCCAAACTGCTCAGGTTGTTTCTAAATGTGAGGGAAAGGGTGAGGAACCTTTTTGCAGTGTGCAGTAATGAGTAATGATTTTTCTTAGCAGTTTTAAGATTGTAGCTTCTAAAACTCAGTATAGTTTATTGAATGTTGCCAATCCAATGCATAAATATATATATGTGTGTGTGTGTGTGTGTGTGTGTGTGTGTGTCTGTGTTGCATCACTTGTTGGTAGAATCAAAGCAAGACTGCTCCCTGTCATGTCCTTTTGAGCCTACTTCACAGTGACAAGTTGGAAAAAGACACCTCTTGATGGTGACTGACATTTACGACAGTGGACATATTTGAAATAGATGGGTGTTTGATCTGGAATGATAACATGTTCCTGGTTGCCTTTGAGCTTTATTGGTGTCAATTGAGTTCCAGCTTTAAAATATGTGTGTGGTGGAGGGGGTTCTAGATACCATATTTGAAACCATCCTGTCTCATGGGGATAAAGAGAAAAATGCCGTTGGTCTGTGTGTGCACATTCGCGATTCTGTGTTGATGGATCAGAGACAGTTGGAAAACTTAAGTACTTTTCTTTCATGATTAGCAAAGCGTGGCATTTTTCTGTAAGGTCAGCAATTCCTAGAGCCTATTCCAGCACACTGACGGTTTTTATCGTTTCTAAAAATGTATGCGTCTGTATATGTGGCGAGATCTGGGTTAAAATAGTTTACTGCAAACTCATGCACTATGACAAACCACTTTAAAGAGGATGAAATCCTGAAAACCAAGATGTTTCTCTTGCAGAAACATTATCTGTAACTCCCCCATCTGAATGAAGTTTTATTCTGTTGCTTCACATAAATTTGGGTTTGCACGTTATGCAATTTGTAATGCATTTACTTTAGGCGGTAATGTGCTATTGTTTTCTCCCAGGGCACAAGCGACTTCTGTGTGTCTCCAAATAAATTCATTGTTAACCAAACCAAGGATTTCCTCACTGCAGGTAATTTATCTTGCACAGACACCAGCTCTTGTCTCTGAACATTAAGGCATGATACTAACCTTCCTGTTTCTCTCACCTTGCAGATGTTGCACACTATTATTTGTTCTGCAGTCCGAATCTGCAAAACCCCTTCCAGCAGGTATTGACCAAATGTCCTGGCTATCTTCTTATCCGGGTAGTCATTCGCAATAAATCACACACTAGTAAATCGATTACAATTGTAAAAGGTGTGCTTTTTCTTGTTAGATGTAGCTAATTTATTGCGAACCCCTACTTGTGAAAAAAAAAAAAAAGAAAGAAACGCGGGTCACAGAAGATTTATTATTGCCGCATTACTTATTTTAGGTTTCAAGTTTCAATATAATTTGTGTGTTTATTTTCGTCTGTATGACCCATACTTCTGGTGCTTTTATCTGTTTGGGTTTAAGCCCCAAAGTAATCAAGGATGGAGTGCATACATTCTGCAATATATGGATTTTAAGTTAGTTGACATTTTTGTCTTAAAAATCCTTTATTTAATTTGTCTTTTGTAATATTTTAATTTCTCAAAAGACTAAATTTTAGGTATCAGTTCAAGTTATAATTGCAAAAAATAATAGCCCTCAATCCTTACAGTATTGTAAGGATTGAGTTTAAACACTTTAAACAATTCTCTATATAATCAATTTTGTTTCTCAAACAAAATCTAATGAAATGACATTTTTAACCTCTTTTTATAACATGAAATATATTTTTTAAATAACATTTTTATGTTGTTCTGATGTGTTAATGCAGCGGCTTTTGAGTGTTTGAAGTGTGTTTGCTTATCACTTTCTTTTAAATTACTTCTTAATGAAACATTTGTATTCCTTTCATGTCCCTAAAAAAGGCAACTGTGTTTGAAAAGCTGATCCACTAACATCCTCCTCCCAAATAATAACAGCAAAAATGCCACAGCTGCTGAGCATTCAGATTAAAGCTGGCTCAATATTGCAGGTTTGAAACTGAACTGCTATTCAGAAGCTGATCATTTTCAAGGCAAACCAGACTGAGTCACAAAGCCTTGTCAAATAAACACTAACCCATTTTTACGTGTACAAGCCTAACAGGAGGGAGGATTATTATTACTATTTTAGAACATTTTCAATGACAGATGGTGTGATCTCAAGTGGCTCTGCCTTCATGAGACATATAATATACATCTCTCTGAGAGGATAAACCTGTGACCTATAATTACTTAAAAATCCTGGATGTTTAGCTGTCATTATGGCACCCATGTCTGCAGCAAAGTGATGCCTGCTTTGTCTGAAGAGATAATCCCTAATCTGATGGCCCACTTGATATAAACATTGCTCTTTTGTTTCTGTTTAAGATTATTAGTGCAAAAAGGGGAGATGATAGTGGGAAAGATAATTTATGTGGTAGGATAATGTAGGCCTATCTATTTAAGGTCTTCTTTAAGCCTTTGTTAGCACCAAATTTGTTTACAAGCTAAATCTGCATAAACACTGCTCTCCTTAATAAGATCCTCATTGTTTGTTTTTGATATTTGCCTATGTGGTATAAGGACTGATTGTGCTTTTTTTTTTTTTTTACAGTCGCTAACAATCTGCCAGCGTTCTCTGACCACAATGCAAATCCAGATCCAGGGCCTGCTGCAGTTCTCTATGGCCATTTTCCCCACAGCTCAGGTATAAGCGGTGGCCCCAACAGCCCACCATTTCCCCCGGGCTGTGGAAGGTTACATATCATTGTCTCCCCTTGTGCACCCTTTCTTTTTTTTTTTTAAAGAGAGACCTTTTAGGGATCCAGAGGCTGTTAAACTCCACAGAGTTCAATGTTCACCAGTTAACAGCCTTGCTTGACTGCCGCGGGATACATAAGGTAAGGTCAGAGTCTGACTAGGACACTTTTTAATAGAAATGCTTTGAAACAGAGCTCAAAGCCACTTAGAGGCCCAGCTTGGCTGATGTTTGACCTTATCTCTGTGTACTTCTATGTACTGACACCACTTTAGCAGTTTGCACGCTGTGTGTCTGGGAGAGACGGGCTCTGCTCTCCAATTTCAGTCTAATAATAAAAGACCAAGTTTCAACTTATCTCACCTGTTTTCATTTTAGATAAGAAGGCTTTGCATATATCAAAATTGGACTGAGGACTACATTCAAATGTCAGCTGGATTGTAGAATGCTGAACCAAAAGGCCATCTTTCCAGAAATTTATACCAGTTAAGTTACATATAACATAACTGTATTATTCACTAACAAATGCAGACAGAAAGTGGGGAAAGTGAACTATTATAAAGACGCTAAACCTACGTTGAACTAAGTTGATACAACTAGATGTACAAGAATGTAGCTGATCTTTAAAAGTGGCTATGGCCGGCCAGTAACTTAACAGATTTCGACAACTCTTTAAGAACATTCAAGCTGTGAGATGTTCACTTATCATCCTCAGAACTTTAAGTTGTAGCCTACCAATCAATTTGTCATTCTGCTTGAATTTCTCCATTTGATTCCCTTTTTTTTTATTTTTTTTTATTATTTGCATATTCAGCTCTCACAAAAATGAGAAAATGTATTCTGGTTGTATCTCCCTTGCATGGCTGCATGAACTGGCAGTCCATTCATTTGGCGCAGCATGCATTCTGTAATCATATCACTTTAGCTTACCCAAACACTATCTCTCCTTCCGACTGCCAAGTGATGGGATTTTTTTTGTTACCTCTTCACACTGGAGCAGACTGGAATGATAGCGATGATATAACTGTACTACAGGTGCATGCATGGTGTGTGATGAACAGATAGAACTGTGCTCATTATCGGCCTGTTTGCCTGCTGATCATTTCGGCTGATGCAGCGATTCTGCAGAGACATTGTTTTGACTGGAGAATCATCTTAATGGACTGTTGAGGACACAGTAAGGTTTTCATCACAACTTGACTCAAAATAATCTCTAAAAATCTGTGGGAGATCTGTCTTTTCCATACTTCTCCGGTGGCTTTCTAAAATTAGGGTCATGTGTTTTTATTTTTTGCAGTTTCTTGAAATTATTCAGTATTTACATGTAAAATGGTTGTAATGTCACCACAGGAATGTGTAGTCAGTCTAGTTGATTTTTTCTGATTTAAAAGTACATTTACAGCAAAATAGCATAATAAAGAAAACAGTTAATATCCTAAAATGTTGTTCAATTAGTGACAAACTATATTTTAAAAAGTTTGAGAATTCTGCAGCCCTGACAGCAAATGCCAAACATTAAACCACAACTTTATTTTTCTCAGAACTTGCTTGGCAGATTTAACAAGCACATCTAAGCAGCAACGCATCCTTAACATGCATATCATCAGAATTAGTCTTGAGATTCATATCTCGACAACTATCTCTGCAGTGGAAGACTGGAATTGCTGATTGTCCATCTGCAAAACAACACACAGCCTTCTGCATGCAAAAGCCTTGTTTCAACATGGTTTTCATGTACTTCTCTAGTTGTGGATGCGTTTAAGCTGCTTTATAAATAAAAAAAGTAAGAGTGCAACAAGATTCATATCGAATCAATTAAGGAAAAGCATGCGAAGCCAGCCTTCCTTGCTTGCTCAGAATGGTGTCTGTGAGGGTAAAATGTGCACTGAAGGTTTGCTTGCCTGAGGAAAATCTATACAATTTATTAATACAAGTAAAAATGGCTTTTAGGACATTCAATGATACGATGTTATGTTTTCTTTCTTCTGAAGATTAAAAATGATCTCTTTCAGGACTACCTGGATGCCCTCATGGGTGTGTGCTATGACGGCGTGGAGGGGCTCCTCTATCTCTCTTTGTTTTCTCTTCTGGCTGCCTGCGCACTCTCTGCCATGCTGTGTGTAATTTTCCGACTGTGGACATTAATGGGCAGCAGGTCAGCACTGAGTGAACCCCCCTACCTCATTGTGTACTGCCCATCGTGTTCTTTTGCAAAATGTTCACCCTCCGTTTTGTCTGTCTGTACTTCTGTCTCGTCGTGTGGTTTTTTTAACTTTCATCCAGGGAGAAGGAGTACAACGACATCGATGAGGAAGACCCGTTCAACCCACAGGCGCGCCGGCTGTCGTTTAACCCCAGAAGGTCCAACACACACAGTTTCTGCAGCTACATCAGCAGCCTTGGCAGCCAGGCCAGCCTTCATCCTCCTCCTCAGTCTCAGTCTAATTCCACCATACAACCTCCTGAATATATGTAAGCTCAGCAGCAGATGACTGTGTTTTTGAATCTGGATATTTAACCTCTTAGATTTTTCCTCTCTTTGCTTAACAGGAATCAGTCCATGCTGTTCGGAGGAACCCCTCGATATGAAAACGTTCCTCTCATAGGGGGAGGATCTCCGCCTCCTTCGGTTCGTTGGCCTTATGGGGCTCTAGTGACCGTAGTCTGATAATGATATGCAACAGCATGCAGAAAGTTATGCAGAATGTTATAATGCAAAACAGAAGTTCTCAAGAAACTTCTGTTCCAATTTAAGTGACTGAAGAGGGACATCTGATGGCCATATGTAGAAGTGCATCTCCTTTGTGGATCTTTCTTCTTGTTTGCTATTGATATGTTTTGATTTTTTATTACAAGATAGTAGTAATTCATTCTTTAGTTAATGCTAAACATTTCCTCATATGTGAGCTGGTTAAGCACCATGTGTTTTGCTTCAGTTTAGTAAAGCTCACTTAATTGTAGCATAGTATGTGTTTTGTCTCCAGAGTTTAGTGATAAATAATAGATAAAAGATGGAAGACAGATAAATCCACAGTCCACATCTTGGCTTTGTGATGTTTTCTTCCTGCTAAGATTTCTTGCTTCTGTGGCTTGAGCAGCTTTCACAGCATACCAAAGACTAAAAACACCTTTTGTGTGGGTGAAGGCAAGCAAGAATCTGAATCATTGTCTAAAATGTTGCTATGCAAGGCACATTTTTATCAGTTAGCGATATCTCTGCTTTCTGTCTGCTCATAACAGAGAAGTTGGAAGCTTTAATAAAACACATGCTAAATAAGAACTTGAGTTTGCCTACATTTGTAGTTATGATTTGGATTATTTTTTCTTTTGGTTTTGCTTTCCTACATTTTGCTTTTTTAATTTTCATGCAAGCAGTTTATCAGTGGCATGTCTAACAGCTCTGTGAAAAACTATTTTCTTTTTTACTCCTCAACTCAGACTTTGACAACTGTAAGTTTCTATTGATGTTCATTCTCTTCATTTCCATTCATCTTCATTCCATATTTTTAACGCACACCTTAGAATCCTTAGATATTGTAACTTTGACCCAGCAGCTCTCAGTTACCCTAACTCTAGCACTGTCCAACTGTTGCATGTGAGTGTAACTCTACCTTTTGCTTATGCTCTCTGTGTTCTGTTTTACCTGCTTTTCACAACAATTTGTTTTTTTATGTCCAAATGATGTGAGTTTAAGACTGAAAATTAAGGAGAAACTGAAGTTATTTTCTAAATTGGCTACACATTAGATAATTTATACATATGTGATAACCAAACTGCATCAACAGCACTTTAAAGCTAATTTCATGTGTCTCTTACTTGCAGTATTCACCCAGTATGAGGACCACATACCTGTCCATAACTGATGCCCAAATCAGACACTTGAGGACTGACTTCCAGGTGTAAGCTGCTGCCTGCTAAACCCTTCTCCGTGCATCAGTCAGAGCAACTGAGTTCCTGCTGAGAAAGCTGTCTTCATGACATAATCCTATTTACGGGAACAACAGACTCTTGTCTGATCTCAAGCATGAAAGCAGGTCATATGAGATAGTTACTTCAGTAAGACATCAGTGCAGTGTTTGAAGATGCCAGAATGCAGTTTTGAAAAGAGATGGCCTCAAAGGAATCAGTTTCTTTTATGGAAATCCTTAAACTGAAATTGAGACATGTCTATCAGTCAAATTAAAGTTGAACTGAAATAATTCAGCCATGTTTTTTTTTTAAGTGTTAGGAAAACCTTTGACAATCATGACTCAGTACTTTGATGGTGAATGAGAAGAAGAATTGATTCTATCAAGATCTTTGATCAACAACAAATGTGTTTGACAACAGTGGGACAATCTTTTGACATTTCTGTGACCTCTCGTGCAACACGAAACATAACATCAACTTTTCTGAATATTACTTGCATATGTGTTGAAAACTTAATCATAGCTTGTAATTTTGCTTAGAAGAGCCAAAGATGCCTTTTAATAATAAGTCTAAATGACATACCACTGGTGTTTTATGCAACATATGAGGACATAGACGCATGTGTGAAATAAAATTGACATTTAAGTCTTTAATTATTTTTTATCTTTTTCAACTTTGTTATAAGTAAGAAAAAATATATATATGCATCACTACAAATAAATGGTTTCTCATAATGTTGTGGCTTATATAAATGTATTTTACTAAATGGAAAACAGTTTTGAAAGATATTTCTGTAAATGTTATTATTTGCTGTTTGAATGCTGACTAATATTTCAAGCTACAGAAAAAAATACATCAGATTTTACGTCTGATTAGATTGGCCTACAGTTGTAGAAATACTACTTTTAAAAGAATTCAGTGTGACATGATGCATTTAATATATGCTGAAGACAAAACTAATCATACACCTTGAAGATTTTGATCATTTTCAGTCAGCCAAAATAGTATCTGCTTTTCATAAAAAAAATATTTATTTGTATTTACAGCTTAAGAGAAAAGAATACATCAAATTATTTATACACTTCTCAATAATTTATTTAAGTAAAAACTTTAAAAACAACATTCTTGTAATTAAAGAAGAACCGTCTTCAGCAGCAATAGATTAGTGTAGTCATTTATCACTTCAGTTCCTCACTTTTTTGGAGGGATTATCTCACTCTTCTTTACACCACTAGATCTTTAAGGAACAAGATCATTTGTTTCTGCTTACCTCTTTCAGGATCCATCAAACAGTTATCCAGGTCCAATATTTATAAAGCAAGTCCACATATAAGCCTTATGAATATTTTTTAAAAAGTTAATAAGAAGTGTTTGTACTGATCTGCTATGTTCTGTTTTCTCTAAGCATTGCTTTGTTCACTGTGATCAACCATCTCTTCATGTGTCCTAAAGACATAGTTTCAGCAGCCTACTAAAACTCAAACCCCTGTTTACCTGGAGGTGCTTATACCTCCTGGTTATCAGTTAATCAATAGTTAATACACTATTTGCTGTGTACTATTTCAATAGTGTAGACTTAGAAATAGTGAAGCTTTTCTCAGCGACTCTAGTCACAGTAATGAAAATGATTTTTTTTCTGTAATTATGTTTTTTGAACAAAAGATTGCCAGAAACAACAGAAAAATGTGGTAAAATCACAAGTTCCAGATTTTGTACCATGGTTGAACACAGATTTGCAGCTCTGACACATCTGTCAGGTCTAAAAAAAACAATTTGAAGCACTTTGTAATTATGCTTTGATTGTTTTAAATACGATACCATCCTGGAATCAGGATACCACTCACGGGTAATTTTTTTGTGCAAAGATGATTGCTCTTAATGGCAGTAAAAACAAAAAACAAAAAAACAACAACAACAACAAAAAAATCCCCCAAAAACCCTAGTCCATTTGTTTCTTTCATTCTTTTATACTGTTACATCAACTTGCAAAAATGTGTATTTTCATAAGAACCTTTTTACAGACCTAAAATCACAAACTTATTATCTGGACTGGAGAACCACTAGTTATTTCCTCTATAACTTGCTGTATAGTCATTAAGAAAAATAAGTAAGTTCATAAATAAATAAAATAAAAAATACATACATACATACATACATACATAAAAGAAGGAGCTGTCCAGGGTGCTAACCATCAATCAGTAGGGGGTGCTGCAGTTGAAATATAATAGTTTTTCTTTTAGCTTTATGCAAACTGATGCCATCATATGGCTGTTGTTATATTCTATGTAATAAATTATTTTTGCATAAGATTAAGAGGTACCGAAAGATTTTAAACTTAAATTCCGAAGCGAAGTCATACCTCGGACGTTTCGTCCTTCCTCGCCTGCCGTAGGAAACAAGACGAAAATCGTGCGGACATGGCGTAAGCAGCTAGCCTGCTAGCCAATTGAGGCTGCTTTATTACCATGACAAAATGCTCTACAACGAGTCGCATTGTGTGTGTCGATAAGGGAGGATGTGGCTAAATAATGGGAAACGTCTTTGGGAGAAAGAGCCGATCCTCTCGTGTAACGGAGCAAGACAAAGCCATTTTGGTAAGCCGAACAGGGAAGCTCCGTAAGATGAGCTCAAAGCTATCAAAACAAAATTATCTGTGCTGCATTACATGGAATACCGCTTGCCGGGATCTATCCTTGGCATTTATCTCTGGGTTTGTGTTTACTTTTGCAGCAACTGAAGCAGCAGAGAGATAAACTGAAGCAGTATCAAAAGAGAATCACCTTACAGCTGGAGAAGGAGAGACTTCTGGCTAAGCAGCTGCTAAAAGATGGCAAGAAAGAGTAAGCAGACTTCGAGATGCAAATGACAGCAGTTTGTAGCAGATCCCAACCAGTGGCATCACTTGTTGTGCTTTAACATGTTGCAGAAAAGCACTGCTGATGCTTAAGAAGAAACACTACCAGGATCAGCTACTAGAGAAAACCGAGAGTCAGATTTCAAACCTCGAACGTATGGTGAGTTTAATTTCTTTATTCTTTAAAAATATTTAAACATGTGTCTTGATTAAGCTGAGGTGAAGTCCCCTGATGCATCCATGAGGAAAATGAGTCGACTGTAGAACCTTGATCTGCTGATTTTCTGTTCCTAAAACACTTTTCTTTAGTTTTGCATGAAAACAACATTTCTACAATAAAATAATAATTCAGGTTAACCAAAAGCTACACAGACAGTCAAACAGGATTTCATCCTTGCTTTAAAACAGGTGTGTCAAACTCATTTTCGTTTTGGTCCAAATCAAGATTATGAAGGCTCTTAAAAGGCCGGTTGTGCCAGAATGTGTTGATAAAACTTGTTCACAAACTGTTAATATGCCAACGAATACTTAAAATTACATAATATTATTGAAGATCTTTTCAGTCCCTTCAGGAACTAATAATAAATGTGACTGTTTATTTACTCGCTGTATAAATCATGGACTAAAATCATACATCAACTAAATTCTCAAGAAACTGGAGGGATTGATTGATATAAATTGGCAGTAAACAGATAAAAACTGCATTGATATGATTGATAATATAATATTTAATCACACTTAGCGTTTAGTCTAGTCTGTGGAGAGCCACATGAAAAGCTACGGTGGGCCGGATTTGGCCCCCGGGCTTTGAGTTTGACACGTGCTTTAAAACAAAGACAAAATCATTATAAAAGTCACAGTTTACACTGTGTTTGGCATTTTATTTACCTTTTACACAATTAGTGTATTCGATGCAGTTAGCATTACGAGGCGTAGACTTCATTTTCTCTCTGTATTCCCTTGAGTGAATTGAGTTTTTACTCAATTCATTGTGAGATTTCCAAACAATTTCCAAATCCAGCATGATCTGTGACAATCAAATTCTTCAAAATAGACCAACTTTGCTGTAGTGTTTAGCTTTTATGTATTTTAAGTTTCAAACGCTAAAATTACTAGCCTAAACTTAGTTCTTCACCAGACTTTGTGTTAAACATCTTGGTGGTATTGAAAAATTTCACCGTTTTCTTAGAATGTGAAATCATGCTTAAAATGATCAGAGTCTCCCCCCCTCTGTGTGCAGTGTTAAGTTAATTGTTAAATCTTAACAATTGACTTAAATGTAACAAAACAACCCAATTCACCAATTTTGAATTGACCGTTTTGTTTTGTTGGTGTGCTTATCATTTATTCTGCAACTACGTTTTTAAAAATGTATTATTTGTTAACAGGTTCAAGATATTGAGTTCATGCAAATCGAGGTGAAAGTCGTCGAGGGGCTTAAAATTGGCAATGAATGCCTAAAAAATATGCACGAGGTACATATTTAGTTTTCTTTTTTCTTCTGTTCTCTGTTTAGAAATGTACCTTTGCACAGTCGTTGCACCCTTAAGTTTCTGTACTTCAGTGTACTGTGTCAGAGTTTCGTCTGATTGAAATGCTTTCTATAATGTGATCCCTGCAAAAAAAAAAAAAAAGTTGAAGCAGTGCAGAAGGCTTTTGGATCGTGATACAACAACATAGCTGATGCACATGGCTTTGAGATTAAAGGATTAAAGAAAAGCCTCGTCGACATCACTCTGAGTGTTGCACATGCTTAGATACTTAGACCTTATGTAGAGGATTTGCAAGTCTGACAGAATGTGAAAAAACTAACATTTTAGTCTGAAATTTAAAACCAAATCCAATGTGTGTGTTTTTTTTCTTCCACAGATCATGTCGATAGAAGACGTGGAAAAAATCCTAGATGAGACCCAAGAATCAATTGAGTATCAAAGGGTACTTCAGAGTAACCTATATGCAAATGATTCCATTTCCTGTATATTTTTAGTTGTCTACTGCTTTTAAATGACCTTTTTTTGTTTGTTTTTTACTTAAAATAGTGCAGATATGTCTGTGATTAAGATGCGGATATGCATCAACAAGTCTGTCTACATTTTGCATTTGCAGCACATAGATGAAATGTTGGCTGGAGTCATGACACACGAGGATGAAGAAGCAGTTTTAGCAGAATTAGAAGCTATCACTCAGGTGGGTTCTAAGATGGATGTTAATATTTATTCTAAAAATGTCTCAACAACCACACATCTCCATTCGCTGCTCCACATAAATTTATCCATAATGTCGATCCTGAACTGTTGGTTGCGTCTTTTGGAGAAGAGCTGATTCATATTAATTTGCATATTTAATTTCAGATTTTTAATAGGTTTCCAAGGGATTTTCAACAAGTCACAGCCGTGTAAGAATCTAATTACAAGTTGTAACTGAAACAATGAATTATGCAGATTTATATGGATTAAAGTCTGCATTGTGTTCTAATTGTTTTTAATGATACACTCTGTCAGACTGTGAAAAATGACTATGTTTCATAATTATGTGTTGGCACCGGTTCAATGACTGCATTTATTCGTATTATATAAATAAAACTCAAAGATTAGAGTGAACTGAAAATAACAGTATTAAGGGTAGAGTTCATCTTACTGGAGAAGAGCAGCACATTTCACATTTTCCTTATCAGTGTCATTGAGGTCATGTACTGCCTAACTTCAATTATAAATCCAGTTAAATTCAGTTTTAAACAGCCACATCAGAGGCTTCATTGAGGAAAGAAAAGCAACACTGAAACTTTCAGGCAGTTTTTTATGGCACACGTCATTTTTAATAATTGCTAAGTTAGCAATAGCAGTTACTAATGCTGACTGACACCTAAATTGTTGCTTAACTTATCTTGCACTTTGGATTTGCTTACATCTGGTACAATAGAAACATCTACTGTCCAGGTCTAAGAATCAAACTTTCCATCATTTTTCTTATACCAGATTTGGTTATAAATGTCTGGATTAAAACAAGATAGGAGATACAATCTTTAATGAGAGTTTATCTCTTGAAAGATGAGTCAAACTTCAGGAATTATTTGGCTTGGAAAAAAAAAAAATCCCCAAAACATGTAACCTTTCATGTATAATTTACAATCTCACGCTCTCCAGTTGAAAGAGTTTTACATCAGCTTCTACAAGAAGGAGAGGGAAAAAACTGCTTAAATGTACACCTTTCAAGCTCCGCTACATTCTGCAGTGAACCATGAAACTCACAAAGTAAGATTTGTGGAAGAAGATGTTCTGGATGGATGAGCAAGATATGGATCTTTTTGGCTTTACTTGAGGAATACCACACCAGTTTATTTTTTTATACTAATGGCTTCAAGATGCTTGAGGGTTGGTTCTTAGGATAGCATTTTTAATGAAGAAGTTTCTTATTTCAGCCTCAAGCTATCAATAAATAGAATAAAGGTGCGCACAACTCTGTGTTCATGAAGTCTGTAGATACCCTTTTCTTTTAGCTTGTGAACGAAACATTCCTTTAAACCTCCAGATGGTTTTATTTTTGCTTCTTTTTTTTTTTTGTTTTTCTTTTTTTTATTCAGGAAGAAGATGTAGCACTGCCAGAGGTTCCCACTGCCCTTGTTCCAGAGATAACAGAAGCTGCTAAAGTTGAAACAGGTAGACTTTATCTATTTATTCTACTCATCAAAAAATGTTTCAAACTTAATTTTCTTTTTTTTATTTTTTTAGAGAGGAAAGAAGCAAGGAAGCAAGAGGACAGAGAGATGCTGGCAGCCTAAAAGAATTTCTGGTTGATACCCAGCACTGATCTGCGAATAAAGCCCCTTTAGTTTTGTAAGAAGGGGAAGATTTGTATCCAACATAAGACTTTTCCCTCAATTTACACAAATATAAAGTGAAACATTGCATTTCTGTCTGTTTAATTTGGAGTTGTTTCATAGGCACTGTGCTGGTTGAGGCATTTAGAAAAAATAGGATTTTAGATGTTTTAAAATGGCCATGAATCATTAATGAAAAATAAAACCGTTTTAGATAATAAACTAAGCTGTAAAAAAGTTAACAGTTCAGACTTTTTCTATCAAGTTGTAGAGCATGCATTTATCCAGAAGAGGGCATTGTTTGCTGTCTTATCTGTGGTAATGCACTTTGACAATGTACTGCCTCCCCATGACAATGTCATCAGTGCAGTGAACGTTTTTATTGTCAAGAAATAAAAAGCTTGCTGAAAGTGGGAGTTACTTGGGAGAGGAATGTGATATGTGCAGCCCTAGATTTGGAAAAGTGGGCATCAATTCATGTGAAGTTCAGAACAAATAGATCCCAGTGGTGTTTCGCAAAGCCTCTATGACTGGCAGCGTTTGTACCTGAAATATCATATTGGAACCTGAGAAGTCGACTAACTGCGGATGAACTACACATATACCGAGACCTGAAACACGTTATCCCAAATGACCCAGTGAACATAAATCAGACATATGACCCAAAGAAAAACTGTTTGCCAATTACGTGAATCCATTACTTTATAGCACAAATCAAATTTATAGAATCGAAATAAATTATGTGTATTATTCAGGCTCCACTTGGTCATAGGTGTGGGAGGCGTTCACCAAATCCACAATTTAACAAGATAATGCGACATTCACGACTATAGGAGTTTTGCCTTTGGTGTATTTGCAGTAAAATTTAAATTATTAACCATTATGTGGCTATTTCCTTGGGTTATGCCATGACTCTTTCTATGTTGTCTGTGTACGTCATGTTAAGAATAACTTCGCACAGTATGTTGATACCACCCAATATCTTCGAGATAGTGAAACATACGGCATTCGGGATCGGTCCGTGAATGCAGCAGCGGGCTGTCAAGCAGCGGAGAAGGAAGGTGTGTTTAGTTTGCAGGTTTCGGGAGCGCAAACCTCATTCCTGCGGTGGCGTTTTTGTCGCTCGCTGTGAGCTCAAACCTGCTTTTTCTACCTGTTCATTCATTCGTTTTTTCTTTTCTTTTCTTTTTTTTTTACTCGGATAAACGCTTTTGCGATAAAAAACCGTTTATGGTCCTGGCTGAAGATTTCACCATGTCTCGCACTGACGAGGTTCATCGATTGACGGAAAATGTTTATAAGGTAAGGCTGAACTGACGAACAAAGTTTGGAGATATGCATTGTGCTTATTTGTTTGGCCATTAAAATTACGTAGAAGGCTTAGAAGTGCACTGGTAACGTTCTTGTTAACATCTACCCCCCCAAAAAAAGCGCAAAAGCTGAGTTGGTTGCAATATTTCAAATTCACAGTCTAAAGAAAAACAACATCCAGCCATGTTTCCCAGGTTAATTAGGGCGACACCTTTCAGCCAAAACTGCTCACGAACCTGCAAAATCAGGGTCACCGTCTCATTACACGAAGGCCTGTTGAGTTAGTCCGCCTCTGTGCTCATGACAGTTTTAGGTTCGGTTGGGCTATTCCCTGTAAACCGGTGGATTTATACAAGCCCAGTTCTTTGAAATGGGAACAGCCTGCATTCCACAGGACTGCGTTTGGCAGGGAGGGTTGAGTCTCTGTTGCAACAAGTAAACATTTGTTCTCTTCCTCTCAAACCTGATTTTCATACAAAGACATGTGTGGTCTTGGTGGCTACAGTTTAATTCTAAAATGCAGGAATGAGGCTAAAAAGTTGATTTTATTTGAGGATAAAAGCCCTATCAAGTAGATTAGTTTATCTGATGTATGTTATCATTTGAACCAGCATGGAATGACACCTGATGCATAAACGGCTGATACAATCATTTATATATGTTTATGTGTATAGACAGACACACATATATGGTGCTCCAACCTGGTTCTTGATTCAAGTCCTGTATCTTCAATTTATTTTTTATTTTTTTTAAGATGTCCAGTCCTATTGGCTAAATTATTTCATACAAATTATTTTTGCTATAAATTTAATTTATTCCAGTAATTTAGCTCACTATGAAACACATTATGCAGATTAATTACACTGACATTTTCCTGGTTTTAGTTTTGTTAATTATGAGAATTTCTCCTTACAGCTATTGAAAACAGGACAGTAATAGACCAGGAATTTGCACCAGATGAATAACAAAACAATTTTAAGAAATATAGCCTTCGTGAAATGTATGTTTAATGCTTAGAGGTTATTTTCCAAAGGTACTAACGATCCCATCAAAACACATATAGCAATTTTTTAAAATGTGGCTTTACGTCCTTCCTTGTCTTCAATTTAAAACCTGATTCATTAAACAAAAATAGCTGAAACTTATGACTAATGTTGATGATTCTGGAAACTTTGATAAGCGTGCAGTCTTCCAGAGTTGCAAGGATTTGGTAGGTCCTCTTTTTAGGGTCAGTTGAGGTTTTCTATTCATTCAAATGCAAACGCAGCAGTAAACCTATGTCACTGGGGAGGAGGCACCCTGTCAGAGCCGTGACAGGCAGGAACTCTGAGGGGCAGTGGAGTGATAAGGCAGTCCCTCTCCTACTCTGGGGATCTGACCCAGTGGCAAATGACACCCAACCAAGACTCCTTTTTTTTTCAGTTTAAAAACATAAAATAATGAGGTTCAATTTAAAAAATAAAAAAAGAAGAATTTTTAATTGTTTTTTTTCTTCTGCTTGTTAAATGTATTTAACTTTTTAAAATAATTTTGAATAATTATTTAGTTCACTGCTGTGGGACGTACATGGTTAAAGAGGGAATTCTAGATATAATCAGTGATACAAATAGTTGAAGAAAACTGACCAATACCCTAAGATTAATCTTTTAAAAAACATGGCTTTTTGTTTTGTTGTTAAAACTGCAAATCTAAACTATGCAAAGCAGAAATGTAAATATTTGAGCAGCATCAGTCAATTAGTGATGGTTCAGAAATTGACCATTTGGGATTGTGTTCAGCGAGTCAAATACTGAAAAATCAACTTAAACATATTTACTGCATGCATAGTAAGTAAGAACTGCCACCAGATACATTTAATAAAAATTTATCTACTTCACCCTGTTTTTTATTTTTAATTTTTTGTAATTTTTTTTTTGTAGTAAACCTCTGTATAATTCTGTATAATCTTTGGAAGAAAGATTCGTGAGTAAATAATGCATTATTTAATATTTAATTCAAATCATAATTTTGCATTTTGGGGTGTGTCTTAAATATTATAAAAAGATCCTAACTTGTGAGGAAAATCTTTGGAGCCTCTTCTTCCAATGACTGTGATCGACAGTCTTGTGTCATCTGCAAACCAAAGATGATAAAAGTCAGTTGAAAAAGTTAAGTTGAACCAAAATTTCTCACTAAAATGAAAGAGGATTACACTTAGTTTAGTACACCACCATAATTTCAAAGCAGTTTAATCCAAAATAAAAAAATTTCAAGACAATTTTAAGCTAAATAATTTTCTTATTTTCTTGATTAACTTGATTTATAGATTATATTAAATATTGGAGAACATGTATTGTATTCTGATCCTCAAAAGGCACTTTAGATTGATAATTATTCAATGTTTATTGATTAGAATGTTTTCTAAGTCAGTCCCTAATTTTTTTTAAATCAGAGTGGAAAACCGCTAATGTTTGTGAAGAAGTAATGATTGGTTCTGCAAGTCTGCTCTCTTGCAGTTTCTCTGCCATGTAGGCATTCTGAGTATGTCTGTAATTTTTCATTCTATACTATGCAAGCAAAGATCTTTTGAGGAAGGAGAGTTGTTAAAACATGTGGTGTCTGTAAAGAAGTTGCAGCAAGCAGCTGGCAAGATACTGAGTAATCATCAGGGTAATGAGGGAGGTAAATGCTGATGTGTCTCGTCTTAGCCCGATTTACTGTGTGTAAGGGTGAGACTAGGGATTTTGAATCTCCCCTGCAAGCGTTGTGCTTTCAGTAAAGGTACCGGGCACACCTAAGCTTTGTGAGATGATCTTGATCAGCAAGGGAGTTGGCATGGGAAACCCAGCAATTTTTGCATGATCCTTTGTTGACTTGAGTTTCCCCTCCTTCCTGTAGGCAGGCAGCCCCAGACATGGCGGTTTGCATCTAGTTATCCCCATGCTGACTTGGTGAGACGGATACTTAGGACTGACACTCTGTTGATGTGTGTCTGCACTACTGTCATCTCCACCAGCTGGTCATGTCTGCATAGGGTGGCGCTTCAGGTCAAGCCTCTTACGAAGCGGACGGCTGAAGTCTGAGCGATGACCTAGCTTGCTTAAAGTGAGCAAACAGATTGATTAAAGCAGAAGCTCAAGAAAAATGAGTGTGGCTTCATACACTTTTATCCTAAACGGTGAGCAAAATGGAAGGCTCCACTGAGGCAAAGTGACCCAGCACGCCCTGTTGAGGAATTTTTTTTTGTATTTACTTAGTGTTTGTCAGAAGAAAAACACTCTGTAAATACTCAGTATCTCTGCACTGCATGTATCTAGGATACATGCAGTGCAGGTTTTAAACACACCCTGGGCAGGTGAGGCAATAGAAGGGTGTGACTCACTTTCAGCAACCCTCGGGACAACTCACATTTTCCCATGCATTACCACACCCCGATTGTCAACACAACCTGGAAAACAGTGGACAGTTTTGTCAAATATCTCTTAATGTTTTGATCTATTTTGCCTTGTATGAGCTAATGGTGATGTGAGTGTTTGTAAGATATTTTCTTGCAACACTTTGGACACTTTAATTCCAGCTGAAGATTGCTTAAACACCAAAGCCTACCTTAGCATTGTTGCTAATCATGTCCATCCCTTCATGTCCAGCTTCAATATTTTTCCAGCAGAATAATATTGTTATAACGTTCAGCTCATCTAAGCTGGGTTCTTGATCAAGGCAATGAGTTTGCTTTACTCCAGTGGCCTCCACAGTCACCTGAATCTGAATCCAGTAAGAACCCTTTTAGATGTAGTGGACTCATCATGAATGTGCTGCCAACAATCTGTAAAACCTGAGTAATGACATTACTATATTAATAAAGGTCCAAAATCTTTGGAATGTCTCAACTATCTTAATCTGTCATGAAGAGTTAAGGGAGTTTTGTATGCAAGAGGAGTCCAACACCGTACCCACAAGGTGTTACTAATGAAGTGAACAGTGACTGTAATATGTAATAGTTTGGGTCTTGATTGCAACCTTATCGTGAGTTTCACCATTATTGTCATTTCAGCCATACTTTGTTGATAAGAGAACTACACCGAAACAGGTTGTCTCTTAGCAACAATGTGCCATTATTCTTATGCATTCTTATGTGTCAAATAACTCTTTTTTTATTTTTTCAAAGGGTGCTGGGGAGCTACCACTCGATCTTTTACAAACATGCATGTCTATCTTTGAAGAGATTTCATGAGGATGCTTAAATTCCTCATAAAAGCTCCCAAATGGGTCTGACGTAAACAGGGCTGGACTGTTGTATAAATTCAGCGCTGATCCTGTGGACTCTCCTGAAGAAACTGTTTGGAGTCGCTTGTATGAAGACATAACCCAGAGCTTCGTTTGCTTTTCTTTTTGTTCTGGCAGAGTATGGTCACATCAGACACTGCTTGTTTAATAATACAAGATTTAAAAGAGTCTGAAGAGACTCAAGCTCCATAACATCTGCTTCCAGAATATAGTGCTTCAACAAGTTGATGCTTGCTGAAGCCTGGGGCTTTGAAATGATTGCATTATCCACTGCAGGAGGCTCCATAATCTTCATTGCTTATGGAAGAGCAGATTTTGTTCTGTGCCTTTGACTGCGATGCAGAGAGGACTATTGCTCTACACACCCACCTTCTCTGCACGTCTGGGGGCGGATGGTTTAGAGACATTTCTCTTTTTTTCTTTTACTCAACGTTGCTTTTTCAAGGGCAGAGACTGGCAGTACTAACTGTGTACAGGCTGCAAAGAAGCCTCGGAACCGTCACGATGCATGCAGTTGATTTGAAGTCACGTTGTGAATGTGGCTGCTGTCTGAAATGACACTATAGCAAACATGAATGTGACTGTGCTTGAAAAAAATAACACTGTTATGTGGGTGGGAGAAAAAAAGATAGAGAGGGGGAAAATAGATGGAGACAGTCCAGATCCTTGTTGAAGTCCCTAATTACTGAAGAGGGAGAAACTATAATTATAGACTGAAAGAGGAACAG